ACATCTGGAGGTCCTATGGGACCGGTTTGGGCCGACCCAGGGTGTCGTTTTTAGGGAATCGAGCTCCATACACCGACGCCTTTTCCGGCCCTGCATTGCAACTTGCACTGAAGAGTGGCTCCTGGTGTATATGAGACCCTGTTTTTATACATGTTTCGTTGTTTCCCTGGGACGTCGGGGAAACAAAGTATACACCACACCACCCCAGCGTCGTCCCCGACCATCAAAAAGTCCCAGGATTGAAGAGCAGCCCGCCACTGGTCATGTATATTCGGGCGCTGGTAGAACTGGGTTTAGTGGAACCTGGTTTAATGATCTGTACCAGGGGGCGCCCCCCCGTCCCATTTCCACTCACCGGAACTACCGTCACCCGAAAAAAAAATACCAACTATGGCAAACCTGGTCTCGTGACTCTGGCCAATTCGAAGGCTCCAGGGCGCTACCACTAACCGGGCCCCCTTACCCGGGGTCCTGGCCATACCCGATACTCCAGATCTCGTAACAAAAGGGAGGGGGTCTGGATCCTCCAAGACAAGCCATTTCAGACCCCCCCCCGTGGGAGAACCCTCCAAAACATCGTCCCCAGACCCCCCCAGGCCCTCCAAGATAGCCTGGAAGAGACCCCCCCCCGAAATGAGACCCCCCTCCCTTTATTACGAAATCTGGAGTACCCATCGGTCGGAAGAAGTGGGTAGAAACATGAAGTAGGAAGGCGTTGGAAATAGATCGGGTTTCCGCCCCGCCTCCTGAAGAGGAGGGAAGAGGGAAAACCACTCGACTCTTGAAGTAGGAAGGCGCTGAAAGTAGATTGGAATCTGGGAATCCAAAAATACCTACTTTCAACGACCGAGGGGTATATGTTCCCGTTGCCGAGTGGTGTCTCTTGGGGCTCGCCCGGGGCAGGCGAGGCCCCTCTCGAGTTGCCCCCGGGGGGCCGTCTGGGCCGTCAGTGATCGAACGTCCGACGAGGGGAGCCGGCGCAGATCAGCAGGAGCCTGTTTTTTTTTGATTCAGGCAAGTTTACTTGCATGGCGTTCGCCCTCCCCCCCCTCGCCCCTCTTCAAGCGAATACTAGCGTGCAAATGCCTTTCGACTTGCGTGATTTCCGCGCACCCCCCCCCGGGCTTGCTTCAGGCTCAGCCCCCCCCCCCCCCGTCCATGCAAGTAAACTTGCCAGAGTCTAAAAAAAAACAGGCTCCAAGTGGCACGCGCGCCATGGCTCTTGCATAGATCGGAGAGAGATGAGCAGGATGAGCAGGAGGAGGAGGAGGAGGAGGAGGAGGAGGAGGAGGAGGAGGAGGAGGAGGAGGGGGAGGGGGAGGCGGAGGAGGGAGAGGGGAAACGGAGGACGAGAAAAAGGAGGCGGGGGAGGAAGATGGGGGAGGATCATGAGGGGCTGGAAGCGGGGGAAGCGAATGACGACTGAAGAAATGAGGACACGGGAGGACGAGGACGAGGAGAGAAAGAGAGAGAGAGAGAGAGAGAACGAGCGAGAGAGAGAGAGAGAGAGAATGGGGGAGGGAGGGCGAGGAGGGAGGAGGGCGAGGAGGAAAGGGGAGCGACGGGAGCAGGAATTGGAGTCAGTAGAGGAGGAGGGGGAATAGAGGGAGGGAGCAACATTCCATATGCGAAGATGCCGAACGGGGGTCTGCAGGGCGGGGCGGGGGAGCGCGCTGGCTGGCGGGCGAGGAGGAGCTGGGCTGGCCGTGGGGGGAGGGGGGGCGTACCAAAAGGGTCGGGGCGGAGGGGGCGCGCTGGCGGTGGGTGGGGGGGATGCCGAGGGGGCCCGCGGGATTAAGGGGGGGAGTCCCGTGCCGAAATAAAAAAGGTCGGGGCGGAGGGGGCGCGCTGGCTGGTGGGTGGGGGGGATGCGGAGGGGCGCGCGGGATTAAAGGGGGGGAGTCCCGTGCCGAAATAAAAGAGTCGGGGCGGAGGGGGCGCGCTGGCTGGGGGGTGGGGGGGATGCGGTGGGAAATAAAAGGGTCGGGGCAGAGGGGGCGCGCTGGCTGGTGGTGGGGGGGATGCGGAGGGGCGCGCGGGATAGGGGGGGAATGCCGTGCCGAAATAGAAGGGTCGGGGCGGAGGGGGCGCGCTGGCTGGTGGGTGGGGGGGATGCGGAGGGGGCGCGCGTGATGGGGGGGGAGTGCCGTGCCGAAATTAAAGGGTCGGGGCGGAGGGGGCGCGCTGGCTGGTGGGTGGGGGGATGCGGAGGGGGCGCGCGGGATGGGGGGTGGGGGTGCGGTGCCAAAATAAAAGGGTCGGGGCAGAGGGGGCGCGCTGGCTGGTGGGTGGGGGGATGGTGGTCTGGGAGGGGGCGCGCTGGCTGGTGGGTGGGGGGCCGGGGCGGGTCTGGAGTAGACACTCTGTGCAAATCAATGAAAACAAACCATGATTGTAACGGCATGTGCCGTTTCGGAGTTGGAGGCATCCTGGGCCTCGCTTCGGCCGTCACTGGAGATTCCGGGGCCGTCGTGGGGCCGACCTCGGCCGCTGTGGGGCCCTCTTGGGGCAGGAGGAGGAGGAGGAGGAGGAGGAGGAGGAGGAGGAGGAGGAGGAGGGGAATGAAGACGGTGCCGTGCGCACAGCAACAATGTCAGACAGAGGGGCCCGCGCACAGGCGGGGCACATGCGGGGACTATGCCCACTCCAGATTTCGTAATAAAAGGGAGGGGGTCTGGACCCTCCAAGACAAGCCATTTCAGACCTCCCCCGTGGGAGAACCCTCCAAACCATCGTCCCCAGACCCCCCAGGCCCTCCAAGATGGCCTGGAAGAGCCCCCCCCCGAAATGAGACCCCCCTCCCTCTCTTACGAAATCTGGAGCACCCATGCCAGCGCCGGGCGACATGCCAACGCACCCTACGGAGGAGTATTAACGTGATTGCGGCATCTTGTTTTGGTGTTGACTGATGTGGATGGTTTGGGTTAGGTCGGGCGTGTCCTCCTACAGGCGGGTTCTGGACGAAAAGTGAAAGATAGTCCCGAGCTCGCCCGAAATGAAATAGTCAAACATGATAACAAAAAAATCGCCCGCAGACTATTTGTTGACTATTCTTGAAAATTCCTCCTGTAGAGGGACATGCCCGACTTAAGGTCTGGGATCGTCTTGGGGCGCTCCCGTGGCCTCTTCGGGCCGCCCTCGGGCGACCTGGGCCCCCAGAGGCGGTCTGGGGCTCTCTGGGAAGCGGGGGAGCTCTGGGAAGCTGTGCTGCCCCTGTCGGGGAGACGTAAGACCCGGGTACGGGGGACTCGGAAATCCCCGACGAGGTCGTCAAAAAAATGACGAGGCCGACCCTGCATTTTGACGAGGCCTCCCGCTGCAGACATCCCACGAAACTCCTCCTCGTCAAAATCCGAGGCGCGGTCGTCAAAAAACGATGGCGAACCCGAGTCCTGGCAAACCCGGGTCTTACGCTCCCCCGACCCTGGGCTCGGGGAACCCGGAGGTCCTTCGGGGGGACCTTAGAGCGTCCTGAAGTTAGGGGCAGCGATAGGGGGGATGGGCACAGGGGGGGATACGTCGACCTGGGATCGGCGATACATCGTCGATAGATCGGCGATAGGCCTCCGAGAGCGAGTCCGCACCTTCCTGGGCAGGTTGAGGCTATTGGGCCCCTATCGGCGATCAATGGGCGATTGGGGGTCGATGCATCCCCCCCTATGCCCATCCCCCCCTGTCGTTGCCCCTGATGAAGCCAGGCTGGGCCGACTCGGCGGCCTCCGGGCGTCCTCCCGAACCATGCTGGATACCCCTGGAGGCCGAAATGGCCGCTGGGCCGATAGTCGGCGGCGCGCTGAGGGGAAAATGGGGGGGGGCAGGCCTTCTCAAAAAGTGGCGGGGCTTCTCAGAAGCCTTCCGGCCTTCTGCGAAGCCCCGTGTGTCCTCGGAGCAGGCGGCTCAGACAGCTTCCCGCGAGTTCGGAGGCCTTGCGCCGCCGAGAATAGGGACTACAATGAAGGGGCCCTGGGACACACAAATAAATATACACAAATCAAAATATTCCCCATATTTTCTCATATGTTTTGGATTTCTGTCTTCCCCTCGACTTCCCATATTTTCCCATATTTTCTTGGGAATCGACGATTCATTGTGTCTGTGTTTTTTTTTCCCCCTCCTGATACAAGGAGGCCAGTGGTGGATGGAGAAACCAAGCCAAAAAATACCGATACCGCTGCTCCCCAGACCTCTCCCGGGGTGCGTTTTGACCAGAATTTCGAAGCAAATCCAGCCTCGGCGACGAGGGCCTCCCAGAAGGCCCTAAAACGGGGAAATCGAGGGAATGGCTGCGGCATGGGTACCTTTTCCTCCTCTGAGGGTGGAGGAGAGTTTTTGGAAGAGTGGCCCCGGGGACCTGGTCGCCCGCAATATGTTCGGGGTGGCCAGAGCCCCCTATGGCAAAACGCCCTTTGGTGAAGACGGCCCGGGACCAGACCTGGTAGGCGCAAGCCCGTAAACATTGCGTATGCGGCTTCATCTCGAGAACTGGGTTACCGCTGCAAAGCATCCTAGATAGCAGCAAAGGTGAAGAGGCGGGTCGGTTCAGGATAGGGATGAGATCACGGCCATGTGCATTTATTTTGTTTCACAAAAATATCGTGGTCGTCTGAACCAAACGTGTAGCCCGCATTAAGGCGAGATTGCGATTCCTGAGCCAGGTGTAGGTGAATCTCAGACAGAACGGCTGCTGGACTGGGCGATTTAGACTCCCCGTCCCCGCTGTGGGACTCTTAAGTTACCCTTTATTGCAGCTGTTAGATCTTAGCGAAACGCTAGTAGGGGAAAAGTGACTCACTGATAGAGTTGGCAGGGTGGGGGTCTATCAACCTCTGGTATACTACATTCTCCGGCCCTTGTGGCCGTCTTGGCAGAGCCCTCTAGGTCCAAGCGCTCGCCCCGCTTGGCCAGTCGCCTGGAGAGGAGCAGGCGTTAACTACTTCGAAGCGAGAATCGCGGAGGGTCGGTGTATCACTGGAACCACAACCGCAGCGTTACCTGCCCGCTCAGTACCCGAGATACCGCTGCCAGTGCCTGCACTCCTTCGCCTGGGTGTCCTCGGTGATACCCACGGTGGGCACCTCATCGACGATTAGAGTCTGCGGGCTCTCGGCGGTGTACTCTGGCCAGCGCAGGTCTGACGTGGAGCCGACGTTGGGATCACCGAAGGCGGCCAGGCTGTACAACCAGTGGACCATGCTGACGTGCAGCGAGGTGGCGCCAGACTCGCCAGGCTTGGGGATCCATGACGGTGAAGACTCGGGATTGCCAAAAATCCACTCCATGGCGCAGCCGTGCGAGGCCCCGTGGGTGCCGTACCTGGACCCGAAGAGGTCGAAGTAGAGCCTCCACACCTGAAGGGCAACGGCGTTGGGGTGACTGGCTCAAGGGGGGGAAACATCGACCTGGAGTCGGCGATACATCGCCGACGGATCGGCGAGAGTCCCCCAATAGCGACTCCACACGCTCCTGGGCGGGGTGAGCTATCGGTCCCCTGTCTGAGATCAATGGGCGACTGGGGGTCGATGCATCCCCTCCTGAGCCTATTCCTCTCCAGTGCTGCCCCTGCACACCCCGCTGTGAAGCGGGTTCGCGCCATACTGGAGCGCGTCCGCGTGCAGTTTGGCACTGCAAGCGTGCGACGCGTCCGAGAGCACGCGAAATGCCACCTGACTCCGGTTCTCCTCGCGCAGCCGGCCCGCATACCACTCCTCTATCAGCTCAGGGCCGACCGCGGCGCCCCTCGCCTGGTCGAAGCCGTGGTCGAGCAGGAACGTGCGGAACTCGCGCTCGCTGATGTCTCGGCCAGGGGGCGGCTTGAATTTCCCGCAGCGCTCGCAACTGCAAGAGCCCACCATCACGGGTACTCTCTTCCACCTGCCCTCTCGTATCAGCTTCACCGGAGACTCGCCGTCTGGCAACGCAGGGGCGAAGCGCGACCCGGGGAAATGGGCGGCCTCGACCACCTCCTCCATGGTCGCGTCCCGGAGGCACTCGAGATCCTCGGGGCCTCGTGGAGGCCTCCCAAAGAAAGTCCGAGTGGATGAGGTCGGAGGATCGCTCCGCATCGCTGACGCATCGGCGATGCATCGTCGATGCATCAGCAATAAAGGAGCGACGTCAGCGCGAAGACAATCAGGCTCCATATCGAGCCGCATCGCGGACGCAGCGACGATGCGCCGCGATCCTCCGACCCCGTCTACTCGGATCCCATTCGGCATGCCTGGACCTAGGCAGCCGAGGTTCATGGCTAAAACCGACGAGTTCCCAAGGATGTCTTCTGGGGCCATCCAATCGTCGGGGGCTCCGAGGTCCTCCCAGACGATGTGGGCGCCGGGGCTCATGAGGCTCGCGCTCGTGAAAAGCCCAGCGGAGGACGGCATCACGAGGTGTGCGGCGACAGACGCTCCCCCGGCGGAGTTCCCAAAGATCAGGACGCGGTCGGGGTCCCCGCCGAACGCCCTGGCGTTCTGCTGCACCCACCTCTGGAGGAACAGAACAATGGCACCCAAGCGTGTGCTCTCGGAGGTCCGCGCGGACTTCGTGGACCGTCGCTGGCCCCCCTAGCGGTGCCTCTGGCGCCGCCCCTGGTGCGCTCCGCGCGCCAAGAAGTGGAGCCCAACGCTGATCCAAGAAATCCGCGCGGACCTCAGCACATCGATGTAGATGTGTATATGTAAGGTTCTTCCTCGAACCTGAGGGCAAGCTGCTGGTCTTGCAAGCCGAGCAACGGCGGGGTGGCAGAGGGGCTGAAGAAGCCGAAGACGCCCAATCGGTACTGCGGGCAAACGAGCAAACCGCCGGTGAGCTTCGTGAACCACTGTGTCCCCTCCTTGCTGCAGCCCCCACCCACGAAACCGCCGCCTTGCGTTGCATATTCGGAAGACCTTCTGTCTCATCACGTCGCTATTCGCGTCGAATCCGCGCCGCATCCACGCCGAATCCGCGTCGAATCCGCATCATCCACGTCGAATCCGCGTCGAACGCGCGTCGAACCCGCGGCGGACAAACGAAACATACCGCAATCTGTTGGACACAGAAGGCCCCCCGAAGATGCAGTGCGAGCCACCGTGGAATTCCACCACGACGGGCTGCAACTCACCGTCGCCCAGCAGCGAGCCGGCGCGCGTGAAGATGCTCAGGAGCAGGCAGTCTTCAGATCCGCCCTCCTTTGGGGGAGCAAAAACAGCATCAACGACACGCCGCCGGGGGGGGCCTATCAGCGGGTCAGCCTGTTGAGGAGGCGCGAACTTTTCAAACCAAACGTTTGACAGCGTGGACCCCAAAGAGTGTGCGGTGCAATATTTGTGATGCAACGTAAGTTGTGCAATCTATGTTGTGCAATCTCTGCTGCGTAGCATGTGTGGTCCAATACATGTGTGGTGCAATCTACGTGGTGCGCAATCTATGTTGCGCAATCTATTCGGAGCTATGTATATGGTGTAATCTACGTGGTACTGACTATGCTCTGCAACCCATGTTGTGCAACATAGTCTGTGCAATCCATGTGGTGCAATCTATATGGTACAATCTTATTTTGTGGCGCGCAATCTATGTTGTGCAATTCACTTTGACTGTCTTGAAGCTGTCCTGTCCACTGATCGTGCACACATCCCACCCTCCCACCCGCACCTAGGTCGCAAGACCTCTTAAGACCGTGACGGTAGGTACCAAATGGCACTGGGCAGCGACACCGACGCCGACGACGACAGCGACAACGACGACGACGCCGCCGACGACGACTACGACAACACCGACGACGACTCCGACGATTTCGACGACGATGACACCGACGACGACGACACCGACGACGACGCCGACGCCGACGACGACGCCGACGACGACGACGCCGACGACGACGACGATACCGACGACGACGACGCCGACGACGACGAAGACGACGACGACGAAACCGACGACGTCGCCAACGAAGGCGACGAGGGAGGAGGGAGGACGACGACGGCGACAAAGACGACAACGATGAGGGAGGGGGCAGGACGGCGACGACGCGAACGACGAAGAAGGAGAGAGGACGGCGACGCCGACGACGACAACGACGAAGGATGACGACGATGACGACGGCGACGAAATAGGAGGGACGACGACGAGACGCCGACGACGGACGATGACGACGAGGGGGGACGAAAAACAATCACGGCGACAACGACGACGGAAACGACGACGACGCCAAAGAGGACGACGACGACGAGGAAAGACAGAAAACGACGACGGCGACGACGACGACGACGAGGGAGGAGAGAGGACGGCGACGACGAAGACGCAAAAGCGGCGCGCACGTTTTTGTTGAACATCCGTGTTGCGAGACCCTGTGCTTTTGTATGTTTTTTGGACACTCGATTTGGAAAGCCTTCCGGATCCGAGGGTTGTTGAAGGATGTCGGCATGCGCGCGCGACGACGAGAGCGCGTGCACTTCGTCGCATTTCTTGCAAAGGATTCTCGCGACGGCACGCGCGCAAGGGCGTTCATTCAAGGGTGGGATGGACATTGGGTCAGAATCTGGTGTTTTTGCATCGGTCCCCGGGAGGCCTTTAAGTCCGGGGGGGGGGGAGGGTGGTAGAACCGATCTCTTTTGTAGAAGGAGAATCTATGTAGAACAGTCTATGCGGTGCACTACGCTCTGCTGAACTTGAAGTCGTCATCTCCACTGATCGCGCAAACATCCCAATCTCCCGCCCGCAACTTCTTTGGCAAAACTCATGATGCGGGGGAAGGCGGCGCCACCGATGACGACATCGATGATAACATCCTCGCTGCCGATGATCGTCGCCGTGAGTCGATGGTGAAGGTGACCATCTCGACGATACTCGGACGTGCGCGATGACAAGATGACGTCGGCAGCGTCTGCGACAATAACGAAAATGGCACCAGCGACGACGATGTTCAAGAGGGCGACGGCACGAACGATAACGGCGCCAATGATGGCAAACACGTTGACGATGCTGATGTCCATCTATCGATGAGGCAGGTGATCGCGGTGATGCTGACAGGGTTGACAAGGACATCCGCGCGCGGAAGATCAACAAATCCGTCAGACTGATCATGCGCGCGCGGCGGTGCGCGCATGTGGCCCGCGTGGTATTTTTTGCAATGGAGTCGCGCCCTCGGCGCATGACAGGAGTATCGCGCGTGCACCGAGCGGTGGCATGACATCGCTGGATTTGGCAGAAATCATAAGAATCCTATGGTTTTTGAATGATTCTAGCGTGAGAGCAGGGACAGGAAATTTGCAAAACTTGTGCTGCAAAACCCTTGGGTTTTTAGGCATGTATGCTGATATGCTTGCAAGCACACTGTGTTGGATACGATTTGCGACATGGACGCGCGCGCGATGACTTTGTGGCGTTTTTTGCAAGGGATTATTGACATTTGCTTTCTTAGGATGAAGAAGTGTGCGCGCACAGTATGATTTGACAGGGATCGCGGGGGGGCGATAGCGGCCTGGCTGGGATAATACGACTTCAGATTTCGGATGGACGAGTCTGCAGACGAACTATGAAATTACGCTACCCCAGGGGGGAATCGTTAACTCCGGGGGAGTATCGTCTATTTGTCTATATTTTTTAGAAAAGAAAACATATGTTGTGCAATCCTTCATGCGGCGACGATGCGGCGATGGCGACTACGGAACCGCCAGACCGACGCGAAAGCCCAGACGACGGGCGGCGACGAGGCGGCGACGGCGACCACGGAGCCGCCAGACCGACGCGCAGGCCCGGACGATGGGCGGCGACAAGGCGGCAACGGCGACCACAGAACCGCCAGACCGACGCGCAGGCCCCCTTCCCTTAGGAAAGCGAATGAGAACCCCTAAATGCAAGCACTGTTTGGGGAAACTGGCGAAGGAGTAACACGCTGATGGGCTCCGGTTGGCGGCGTGCCAATAACACTCTCCCCGGACATCCGGTTTCTTGATTTTTCAACCATCCTGTGGTGTTGGGTCCTCGTTTTGAAAAGACAGCGGCTGGCGTCCTCCTCCTCCTCCTTCTCCTCCTCCTTTTCCTCCTCCTGCTCTCCCGCTCCTCCTCCTCCTCCTTCTCCTCCTCCTCCCGCCTCCTTCCTCCCTCCTCGCTCCTCCCATCCCTGCCTCTGCCCTCCGCATGTCCACCATGTCGGCACACCCAGTACAGCGCTTCGAGGCCCCATAAGGAACTCCACCGAAGGCCCCAGAGGCGACGTTCGCATGTGGTTCCCCCACCCAGTGCAGCGCTTTGTGGCCCCATAGGGAGCTCCGTCGAACGCTCAGTGTAGTGCTTCGTGGCCCCATAGGGAGCTCCACCGAACGCTCCAAAGGCGACGTTCGCATGCGGTTCCCCCACACCCAGTGCAGCGCTTCGTGGTCCCATAGGGAATCCTCCGAAGGCCCCAGAGGCAACGTTCGCATGGGGTTTCCCCACCCAGTGCAGCGCTTCGTGGCCCCATGAGGAGTTCCACCGAAGGCCTCAGAGGCGACGTTCGCATGCGTCTCCCCCCACCATGACCCCATAGGGAACTCCATCGAAGGCCAATAAGACGACGTTCGCATGCGGTTCCCCGCCCAGTTCGGCACACTCCTCTCACGTTTCGTGAGGCCCCATTACAGCTTTTCGTGCCCCCATAGGGAGCTCCACCGAAGGCCCCAGACCCAGAGGCGACGTTCGCATGCGTCTTCCACAGTACAGCGCTTCGTGGCCCCATACGGAGCTCCACCGAAGGCCCCCGTGCCTGTCTGTGGCTTCGGCCGCATGCGTCCCCCCCACCCAATACAAAGTTCCGTGGCCCACAGAGAGCTCCGCCGAAGACCCGAGTGGCCGTGGCCGCACGAGTCTTCTCCACCCGTTACTGTACACACCTCACGCTTTTCGTGGCCTCATAAGGAGCTCCAGCGAAAGCGCTAGCCACAACGCGGCATGCACAACTGCAGATGGCTGGGTCCTTCGCCTGGATAATTGTCAATACGAAATCCCCAGACGTCTGGACCCTTTCCCTGGGGCCCGTCTTTCGGGGGCGGCAAAGAGGGGGGCGTCAAAGAGGGGGGGGCGCAAATCATGGCCGGCGGCATGTGCGCGGCCCAGGTTGGGGGCCAGGGACGTATTGAAATAAGAAGAGGCGCCATGAAATCTGGGGAAATATCATGGCCCACGCCATGAACTCTACCCCCCCTAGTCATCACCCCCCTCTTTGCCGCCCCCGAATCTTTCATCCCGAGTTGCTTGACGGCTCCGGGGCCCGCCGAAGACCCGGAGGCCGAAAACAAACAAAAACCCTTCCGTCGCGACGCGAGCTGGGTTTTTCCTTTCAAGCTCCTTGCTCGTCTGGCAGGTCCGGGGCATCCGCTTTGCGTCCCTCACGCCGAGCCACGGCTCCACCGGCTCGGGCGGAGCGAAACGGACGGGCGGACGCGCGAAGGGGACGCCGCGGAAGCAAGCCACACCTGGAGGCCTCCCAAGTGCGGCCCAAGCGAATGGGGTCGGAGGATCGCCCCGCATCGCCGATGCATCGCCGATGCACCGGCGACGCCGGCGATGCATCAGCGCCGTCGGCATGGAGAACATCGGGGTCCACATCGAGCCGCGTCGGCGATGCAGCGGCGATTCGGCGCGATCCTCCGACCCAATTTACTCCGGCCCCCATTTGGGAAGCCCGCCACGCCGCTTTCCAGCGTGCCCTGCAGGAGGCCCGTGGTGGTCGCGACCAAGGGGCCCGCCTCGTCGAAGAGGGCCTGGCAAGATCAGCCGGGGCCGAGCACCGCGAGACCGGACCAGATCAGGACGGGCACGAGATCGGGCACGTCAGGTTCGTGTCGTGACGACCCCGGCGTTGGTTTCTGACTCCGCATGCATCGTTCAACCTTGAACGATCGGCGACTGTGGATAGCTCGATCGTTCCATGTAGGCCGATTCTGGGCCACTGGCGGCGTTCAACCTTGAACGCCCGCGGCGGGGTCGCCGCCGGTCGACACGACGCGAACCTAACGCATCGGTTCGGGAACCGAGATCGAATCGAATCGGCTGCGCCTGGATACAGTCGGGGCGTTGACCTAAGGAACCCTGAATCAGGAACGAGGCCCTTTTTTCCACAAGTTAAGCTTCGATTTCCGATCGAAGACATAAGGAAAACCTGAGGCAAGCTGTGAAACACTTAAGGAACATCGAGCCCCTCCCCAACGAAAAGGGTTCCTTCTTCAGGGCCCCGACTGTATGCAACCACACCGGGTAGCCGCTCAAGCATTTGGCCACGTCGGATCGCCAGGGCACCGAGGCCGAATCGGACCGAGAGGGGTGAGCCCGGCCTCGGGGGGCCCTTCCAGGGGGGGAAGAGGGGAGGAGGAGGAGAAGGAGGAGGAGGAGGAGGAGGAGGAGGAGGAGGAGGAGGAGGAGGAGGCCCCGACTTTCTCAAACACGGGGTCCCCGGACGTCCCGAACCTTTCCCCAGGGCTGGCTCCTCGTCTCGAGCTGTCTTTTCACGGCTCTGTTCCAGCGAGGGGCACCAACACTCCCCAGACCTCTCCCCCTACAGGGGGATTTTCGACGACAAAAAAAAATCCCCCAAACATTCTCAAAAAATGCTACAAAAATAGTCAGGGGACGATTTTGGGGGTATTTGTTGGCCTTCTTTGGGCATTTTTGGGGTATTTTTAATTTTTCTTCGAAAATCCCCCTGTATGGGGCTCTCCTGGGGCGCGTTCTGACGAAGATTTCGGGGCAAATGCAACTGTGGCGACGAAAGTTTCCTGGGAGACCCAAAAAGGCGAAACCGAGGGAAATCAGCGGTATCAGTACCTTACTCCTCCGTCGTGTTTTTTTCACGACGCGAGCATATCTGGATTTCCAGGCCATACCTCGGCTCGCTGGAGGCCCTTGGGATGATCTGGGCACCCCCAGAACGCTCTCGGCGAGGCGCAGCTGCTTGAAAACACCCTGAGGCTCGAAAGCCTTTGGGAACCTACGGAAACGCGCGAACACCTCCGAACTCGGCGCCCGGATGTGGAGCACTGCCGAAAACCTTCTCCCCTGGAGCACACCCAAGAAACTCCGCCTCTGAGAAGCGACGAGAGGGCCTCTCAGGAGGCCCCAGAATGCGACACGGGTAGCCGTGTCGGTGCTTCCCCAGATGTGCGATATTTTGATTGCTTCAAAACGGAGTCCCCGGAAGACCCGACCACTTCCCCACGGCCTGTCTTTCGTCCCGAGTCGTTCTCTGGTGGTCCCAGGGCCCGGGAAGGGCCCCCAGAGGCAGTCGAGGAACGCCGCCGCCCCGATCACTCCAGGACGCTGCCTGTCTGGGGGTGCCTCTGAGAAGCGGGCCGATCGAATCGAGTTCGGAGGGACAACACACTACCCTCGGGTCGGGCGAAAGGGGGGGATAGCAAAGGGGGGGTTTGAGAATCAGCTCACGTAGCTGATTTTCCCGGCGCCTCCCGGCGCCGGGAGCGGCCATGTATCGAGGAATTGGCCCTCGGCGAGGCCGAAACCAGCTGCATGCAGCAAAATTCGTAACCCCCCCTTTCCCAATCCCCCCTTTCGCCCGACCGATACCCGAGCATACCTTTTCGGAGGTCCGCGCGGCTGGATCGGCGCTAGATCCCCCCCCCCTGGCGCGCGGAGCGCGCCGGGGGGCAGCACCAGAGGCGCCGCCAGGGGGGCCCAGCGTCGATCCGAGAGATCCGCGCGGAACTCCGAAAGCTCGTGCTCGTGCCGCTTCTTGTTCTTCGAGAGACTTCGAGAGATTACGGCAGGTTCGTGTCGTGACGACCCCGGCGTTGGTTTTTGACACCGCGGGGATCGTTCAACCTTGAACGATCGGCCGCTGCCGCAACGTCCGATCGTTCAACATCGATCGATTCTGGGTCGCTGGCGGCGTTCAACCTTGAACGCCCGCGCTGGGGTCGCCGCTGGTCGACACGACGCAAACCTACCGTAGAGGCCTGCTAAATGGGGCCTGGGTAGATGGGATCGGAGAACCGCACCACATCGTCGGCGCATCGCCGATACACCGGCGACGTCGGCGATGCGTCGGCGCCGTCGGCGAGGAGAAAGTCGGGCTCCACATCGCACCGCATTGGCGATGCATCGTCGATGCGGCGCGATCCGCCGAACCCATCAAATCCGACCCCATATGTTTATGCCGTTTTTTTTTGTAAGGCGACGAGATCTATACGTATCCACTGCCAAAGGCCTTGCCCTTCCTGGGCCCAGGGGCGGTATATACGCCTCCCTGGCTTGGCCCGGGAAGCATCTACACCGCTCCTGGACCCAGAAAGGGCCGGGCCTCTGCCAATGGGCATGCACTGATCTCGTCGCCCTATTTTCTTCTTCGGGAGGTGGGCCGACCCCATCAACTCCGACCCCATCTGGGAAGCCAAGCGAGAAAATGAGCGGCGAAAAGAAACGGGTCTTACGCGAGATGACATTACGCGGTGGCTTACGCGGGCCGCCAGCGTGGCACGCCACATTGGAAACAAGGGCGCTCTCGCGCGAGCTTATGCGGAACGCTTACGCGCCAATGACGGTGAAGACGGCACCGTTTTTCTGCGTCACTCAGATGGGCTGTTCCCTTCGGGATTCGAGGGGCAAATCCTCGACTGGGGTGGTGGGATGGTGGGGATGGGGATGGGGATGTGGATCGCTTAAGCGATACATTAGGGAACATGATCAAACAAATCATGATTTACGACATCTGGACAAGCTTCCCGGAAGTTTCTTGAACCAAGCCTGGGCTAATTTCGGCTTTTCACGCTGGGAGGGCGAACGTGCTCCAGAAACTGGGCCAGCCCTCCAGCAAGTCGGCTAAGACACGCTGGCCCAGCCCTTCGGGAGGAGGCTTCTACATCAGATGTTCAACTGAACTGAAGATGTTGGCGGCGCTTCAAGGGGGCAGGGGGAGGGGGAAGGCTTCTCAGAAGCGCCCTGCTCCTCAGACGGCGCGGGCCTCGCCTAGAAACGCAAGGCCGGCGCCTCCTAAGAAGCAGCCTCCTTCTAAGAAACCTTCCCCCCCTTCCCCTGCCCCCCCCCCTTCTGCGCGTGGCCGACAGATGCTCCACTGTGCTGATTTGGACGCCCGAAATGGGTACGGGAAAAATGGCTGCAATGCCCAACAACAAATGCTGTCCCAAACCAACAGCGGCCGCTGTTGGGCAGGCGGCCTTCTGTCTCGAAGGGACACAGGCCGCGGCGGCGCGGACAGCGAGTCCTGCTCAAATTGCACAGGAACTGCTGTTGGGCATCGTACCCCACTTTTTCCGTACCCATTTCGGGCGTCCAGAGCCGACAAATGCTCCACTGTGCTGCTGCTGGGCCCCGCCTGGTCGCGCAGCGCCGGGCTGCGCGCCGCCCCGCGGGCATGGCCGCGACCGGGCCCGTGGGCCTGCAGCGCCGCCACCGCGCAGAGCACGGCCGCGGCCGCGGCGAGGCCGCGGGGGGCCCACCGCTGCTCGGGCCGGCGCTCCAGGGGCTCGCCCTCCGTCGGGAGCAGGGCGTCCTGAGAGGACAAAGAAACTGCATAGCAGTAAACTTTCGGAGCTCCCGCGCGAACTCCTGGGATATGCGCTGGGCCCCCCTGGCGGCGCCTCCAGCGCCGCCCCTGGCGCGCTGCGCGCGCCACTGAGGGGGCAAGACCTCCGTCAGGAGCAGGGCGTCCTCTCGAATTTGGGGCGTCGCTTACCGCGGGTGGGGGGCCGGGAGGGGGGGCGGGAGACTCGGGGGAGGAGCGCGCACACTTCGTGCCCCTGCTGGGCCCCAGAGGGCTCCCTTTGGGCACAGACAAGTGCACCTTCCTGCACCCTTCCTTTTTAACGCCGTCGCATTACGTCGAGCAAGCGCAAGGAACCGAGCCCCCCCGTGGAGCCCCGTTCCTTAGACCGTCCGCCCCGACCGACAGAAGCGAACCCGCGCGTCCAAACTCGTGAGGAACACCGGGGGGGCCTCGCCGCCAAAAAGGTGGCGGAACGCGTGCAAACCCAAGGACGGACCGAGCCCCACTTGAAAAGTAGGTGTTCCTTACGGCAGGTTCGTGTCGTGCCGACCCCAGCGTTGGTTTTTGACACCGCAGGGATCGTTCAACCTTGAACGATCGGCCGCTGCCGCAACGTCCGATCGTTCAACGTCGATCGATTCTGGGTCGCCAGCGGCGTTCAACCTTGAACGCCCACGCTGGGGTCGCCGCTGGTCGACACGACGCAAACCTACCGTACTCAAGGCTTTCACTGTACGCAACGCCCCGACGGATACGCGCACCCCCAGGCCCGGGCGCTGCAGCGTCTTCACAGCGGGCGTCCTCGCCGGTTGAAGATTTTGTTCTCGAAATTCAACAATTCGTTTGAGCTCTAGTATTTTTTCCCGTGATATTCGATCTTATTCCCGCTCGCAGTCTTAATCTCAGATCGATCGGGTAGATATTACTGCCAAAAAGCACTGCGGCGGGATCGGCCGTTTCGGGTCGGCTTCGGGCACTGGCGCCCTCGGAGGTCGCTGCGGGGGCCCGATCGGAGCGGCCTCCCTCGGCGGCGAGCGCAGTGGGGACATGCGAGCGGGCGGGCCACTTCTCAGAGGGCTCTTTTTCGCCTCTTTCGCATTTTTCGCCTCTCTCGCCTCTTTCGCCTCTTTCGCCTGTTTCGCCTTTTTCGCCTTTGTTGGTTCCAGGGGCGGTTACGCCAACAAAGGAAAGGAGGAGGAGGAGGAGGGGGAGGAGGAGGGGAAGAAGGATTACGAGGAGGAGGAGGAGGAGGAGGAGGAGGAGGAGGAAGAGGAAGAGGAATGGCTATGAAATGGCACAAGAGGGCCCACCACGGGAGTCCCATGCCATTTCCCTCTCACTTCCCCCCTCGCTCGCCGCCGACTCTCGGATACACGCGCCCTCAGGTCCGGGCATGGCAGCCTTTTCACAACGGGCGTTGTCGGCCGTTTTCGGATCCTGGGACCCTCAGGGATCAATCCGACTCGAAACATGATGCAGAAAGATAGAGGCCAGGGCTCTGGCCGATTTTTTTGCGATGCTGTATTTTCTAGCAACGTCGGATCTCAAGGCAAGCCCAGACATGCTCGCGGAGAACCGCAGAACACGGACGGGAATGCCAGAACAACCCTCGAGCCTCGACAGGCAGGAGTGACCCCCGGCGCGCGGCTGTGGGGAGCCGCGGGGAGGACCGACATTCAAGCGCTCTGGCAAGTGCGGGAGGCAGGGCCCCGTGGGCCCGCACCAGAAGTCACCACCCATCACTTCCGAAATGGGTGCGGGACAAATGGGCACGATGCCCAACAGCAAACGTTGTCCGAACCGAGAGCGGCTGCTGTTGGGCAGGCGGCCTTCTGACTCAAGTGGACACAGGCCAAAGCGACACCGACAGCGAACTTCTGCTGGTCTTTGTACCCGTCCTGCCCGTACCCGTTTCGATCCTCCCGATTGGTAGCCGATGTCCTCGCTGCAATCAGACGGCGAGCCCGGCCCCGCCGCCTCTGCCGGCGCTCCGCCCCAGCACACCTCGCCGCGCATCGGGGGGCACCTCTCTGCGGGCGCCGACGTTGCACGCACTGGGGTGCTCGCGCCGCAGAGGCCGCTGGAGCCAAAAACGCTGGGAGTGCCGACCCAAAGGGGCACCCCCGCTCCCGACGAGTGGCGGGGGCGAGATGGTTCTGGAGGCCTTCGAGGCTGGCGCTCGAGCGCGGGCCGTTCCTGGAAGTCCGTCCCCCCCCCCCGTCGCGGCACCCATTCGGCAAATCTATCTACCTCAACCCCGTTGTGGCCTGGGGTGGGGGTGTCATGTGGGGCTGCGTGGGAGGGAGCTGGGGGGGGGGCAAGACGAGGCCACTGGTGCTCAAGTGTCAGGACTTGGCCCCCGCTTTCGATCCCTTCCCGACCCCCGCCTGCCCGAGCGGTCCTCCGCGCCGCAGACATGCCGTGGACACGCCGAGGACAGAGGAGACCACCGCCCCTTCCAGCACAGATCCGCTTCGGTTCTCGGCGCATCGAGGCTCAAACGCGCAATCCCATCCCCCCTCCGCAGACGAGCGCCCACGGGGGACCTGGCCAGCAAAGTCCGCATGATCGGGGAGCACGCGTCGCAAACAGTCGATCTGCTTCTGGCGGCGGCCGCCTGCGCCACCCGAGCGGCGAGAAGAGAGTGTGAAGAGGCCCTGGGAGACACACACATAAATAGACATAAATAAAAGGACTCCCAATATTTTTACATATTCTCTGGGTTTTCGTCTTCCCCCCCACTTCCCATATTTTCCAATATTTTCTGGGGAATCGACGATTCATTATGTCTATGTGCTTTCTCCCTCCTGAGAGTGGTCTTGCGCAGGACGGCACAGCGACCTTGCGCGGTGGCTTGCGCAGGCCACCAACGCGCGACACGCCACGTGCAGACGGGCCGCTCGCGCGCGACCGTACGCCTTACACGCGGCAACTCTACGCACGAATGTCGGCGCAGTCGACACCTTGTTTCGGCGCCGCCCACCCGAGAGCACCAGGAGGAGCAGAGTTAAGGAGAGGGGAACGGAGGCAGACTCCTTCAAGCACAGGAACTTACCTGCCGAGTGAGGGGGGAGGACGAGAGAGGAGGCGG